TCGAGCACCACGCCTACCCGTCTGCTGCCCTTCTCCCTGCCATGACGGTCATGAACTCACTCTCTGAAACTGTAAGCAAGCTCCTGTTAAATGCTTTCTTTTATAAGTTCCTTTGATCATGGTGTCTCATTGCAACAATAGAAAATTAACTAGGAGACCCTAATATCTAAAACTTTCTACTGCTCTGCCTTTCTGCCCCAGAAATTAAGATCTCAGAAGTTTTTTACATTTTCAGCCTTTCTCCACAAGAAGCCTTTATCTTCCTACAGCCATCTACATTACCCAAAAGTACAGAGATGAGTCTCATCACTGCTAAAAAAAAAAAAAAAAGAATGCTTTTAAACTTCGTAGTCTCAAGCTGATAAAACAGCCTTCTAAAGGTATTCATATGGGGGACTAGGCTATATACGACAAGTCAACAGAAATTCTAGCCCTGACCATTCAGTCAAGTCAGCCTCAGGTGCAGCTTTACACACATTACTTATATTCATAATATAGTTTTAGTTGTACAGAAATAGCAATCGCAGGGGCTGGAGAGATGGCTCAGAGGTTAAGAGCACTGGCTGCTCTTCCAGAGGTTCTGAGTTCAATTCCCAGCAACCACATGGTGGCTCACAACCATCTGTACTGAGATCTGGCGCCCTTCTCTGGCATGCGGGCATACATTGAGGCAGAACGTTGTATACATAATAAATAAATCTTAAAAAACAAAAAGAATAGTTAATTTTCTATTGTTGCAATGAGACACCATGATCAAAGCAACTTATAAAAGAAAACATTTAACAGGAGATTGCTTACAGTTTCAGAGAGTGAGTTCATGACCATCATAGCAGGGAGAAGGGCAGCAGATGGGTAGGCGTGGTGCTCGAGCAGTAGCAAGAGCTTGCTGAGCTGGCTCAGCCTGCCCTTCCAGGGGTCCTGAGTTCAGTTCCCAGCAACCACATGGTGGCTCACAACCATCTGTAATGAGGTCTGGTGCCCTCTTCTGGCCTGCACACATACATGCAGACAGATTATTGTATACATAATAAATAAATTTAAAAAAAAAAAGAAATAGCAATTGCAGGGCGGAGCTTCAGCTCAGATGCAGAGTGCATGCTAGAATGAGCAAGATTCTGGGTTTGACCACCAGCACTGCAAAAAAAAAAAAAAACCTCATTCTCTCAAGTATACAGTACATCAAAACTCCCGCCTACCTAGTTAACAAAAGCAACATATCTTCATGCACATATGTGACAATCATGTCTCTCTTATGATTTATACTCCTTTTTTTCTTCCCTTTCATATTCTGGGTTGTAGTGATATTTCATTTGTATTTTAATAAATAAAGTTTGCCTGGAGTTCAGAGACTAAAACAACTGCTCTGATCAACCTTACACACCAGGCAGTGGTGACATACACCTTTAATCCCAGTAGCCACGTTAGTTTGCCATAGAAATCAGTGGTAGTGGTACACACCTTTAATCCCAGAACTAGCGAGGAATATAAAATGGGAGGAAACAGCTTTCAGACACAGTCTCATTCTGAGATTCCTGGAGGCAGGATCGCCGCTCCGGACTGAGGTAGAGGTAAGAGTCAGAGGCTGGCTGTTTTGTTTTTCTGACCTTCAGGCTAAACCCCAATTTCTGTCTCTGGATTTTTACTAATCGTGCTGCACTGGGTCTTAGAATTCCATGGACATCAGAGGGACAGCACTTGCCCAGCATGCACAGGTCCTGGACTCCACCCTCCATCTCACAAGAGAAAAGAAGCGGTTTTCATTTTCCTGGTCCTGGCACAACCACTGGCATGCACGACCTGAATACTCTCACTCGAGGTCCACACTGCCTCTCTGGGAGAGGCTGGTTTTCTCCATGTTTAAAACCTCCTGTTGGAAACCCTGTCTCGAAAAACCAAAAAAAAAAAAAACCTCCTGTTGGGGCTGGAGAGTCGGCTCAGTGGCTAAAATACTTGGTATTCTTGTAGAGGACCCAGGTTCAGTCCCAGTTCTCACATGGTAGTTCACAACCATCACCAACTCCAGCTCCAGGGATCCACACTCTTCATCTCCTCGGGTACCAGTTCACACATGGTACATGTGCATACATGGAGGCAAATGCTCATACACATAAAATACATCTAAAAAGGTAAGTTCTTGCCAGGTATTGGTGGCACAGGCCTTTAATCCTAAGGAGGCAGAAGCAGGTGCATCTCTGTGTGTTTGAAGTCAGCCTGAGTTTGAGATCTACAGAGCTAGTTCCAGGACAGCCAAGGCTACATAAGAAATCCTGTCTCAAAAAAAAAAAAAAAAAAAAAAAATCTTTAAATTCCTCCTTTTCCTCCTTTACCATTCATGGTGATGCACATTTATAATCCCAGTACTTCAACAAAACAAAAATTCCTTTGTTCAGGTGAGAGCAACTGAGATACTGCCTATCTGGGCCTCCTCGTTATACTAAGTAAAGGATTTCATTTAGCTATTGCAAAGTGAGTGAGTTCAACTCTGTCTGTCATATGACCCCACCCCACCCCCCAAAAAAACCTCAAGACAAGAGACTTTAAATGGGAAGAAAGTAAGCTCCCTAGTTTGAGACGTCCATGACTCCTTCCTAAGAATGTCTCCCTTCACTTAGCTAGGAGTAGAGGCAAGCGCCTGTAAACCACAGCACTCAGAATGGAGGCAGGAGAATCTTGAGTCTAGGTGAGTCTGTCTACATAGTGAAACTCGGCCTCACAACAAAACAAAGGAATGCAATCCTTCAGCTTCAGTAAAACTGGAACAGAAAATACATAAGAGGTACAAGAAGCAAAGGATACTCACCATCACTGCTAGCTGTCTATAGGCCTTCTTTAGTTCAATGTCTGACGCTGTAGCTTCAACCCCCAGCACATGAAAAGGGTTTAGTTCATCCTCAGGAACCCCAGCCATGGTCAAAAGTCTGGCTACTTCCTCTTCTGGCTGGCAGCAGCGCCCTCTAGCGGCAGGCGCATTACCTTGCTTGTTAGTCCTCTGCCTGACCCAAGGCAACTCCAGCCAGTTCCACTGAACTAATCTTACCAGCCGCTGCCACAGTCTGCTATCTCGCAGCAGAGTCAGGCAACGATGCAAGGCTGGAAAATCCAGCCAAGAGAACAGCCGTGAGGTCTTATCCCTCCAGCCTAACCGGTCACCCAGTCCCACCAAAAACCGCCAGCCCAACTGTAGACAACCCAAAAAGAGGGCAAAAGCCAGGAGTAGGAAAGCACCCACGAGCCTAAGAAAACGGGTGACTAGCCCTGCTGCACAGTAAAAGCTCTGGCTTAGAAACTGGACCATCACCTGGGCCCAGTCCCTCAATCTCCCTGCCCAGGCTCCCACCCAAACTCGAAAAAGGTCCAGGTCACTGCCTTTCAGCTGTCTGCAGGCGTAAATGAGATGGCCACAAGTTTCCACGTACTCTCCCACCAACACCAGAAGTTCAATCAGCCACCAGAAGCCCGCTTGTCCAAGCTGACATAGTTCCTCCACTCCCCAGAGCCCCAGACCTCTGCGCTTATCTGCCTGATTTCGTTTTCGGCCCAGCCGATGACGACCAGGGGACCTGGGATCTCTGCGTCCACTATCCCGAGTATCCTCCTTGGTCAAAAGACGGTGTCTCTGCTTCCGAGACGGGGGTTTCTTTCCACTGGACACACGTGGAAAGTCACTGGAAAATTTAAGAGGTTCCTCCTCGTCATCCTCTTCTAACTCTTCATCTTCCCCCAAGGCTGGAGAGGTGCAGTGGTGGCAGAAGCTGCTAGAAGCGCCATCGCCTTCCTCAGAGAAGGTCCCTTCAGGGACTCCAGGGCTTCCCTGGCAGTTACAAGCAGGTGGAATGGAAAGAAAGGAAGGGCTCCCATCCTCCTGGTACCCAGTCTCGTTCTCTCTTGAGAGCTCCTGGTCCACTCCTGACTCTTCCGAAGACGCCTCACTGTCATCGGGGTACCCGCCTTCCCCAGGTGGTCCTGGACCCCTCGGAGGACCATGGCTTGGATCCGACCAGTGGGCTGGGTGTGGGGGCTGTGTGTACTTAGGACCAGAGTGCTCTATGAAGCAGCGTGTACCATTCGGCGCAGTCTCTGTTGAGTTCCTGAGTCCTGAGAATGAAAGTATTTCAGGGTCCACAGAGGGTCCTGATGTCCTGAAGGAGGTACCACCGCTGTGATGGGCTCCACACAACCCTCCTTCTCCGGGGTGCTTCTGGGCCATGACCCCGTGGCTTCCTGAGGATTTTAGGTCACAGCCATCATGAAAAGTTCTATTGCCTGCAACAAAGTTATCAAGTTGGGAATGGTCAAGAATAGAGGCAAGAGACAAAGTTAAACAATGTACCCACTCCCCCTACCGCGTAAATTCAAATTCTTTGGGGGCATTACTAATCCTGACAATAAACCTGAATTAGGCTGACCACAAACCTGCTTGCACCAAACCTCGACCTCAGGAACCCCCTTACCCCGAAATTTTAATTTTTCTTCTTTCCCCTCAAGAAGCTAAACTCTTCAATCTGGGAACTGGGTGTGGGGGGTGGGTGGGGGGTTACCGCAAAGGGTGTGGTCGGGGGGTTGGGATTACTCTTAGAAAAAAGACTGCCTAAAGAGAGAGGCCGCAATCTGTCAGAAAAGGGTGGGGACAGTACAGATTAGGAGGAAAAGCTCAGGGCGGAGCTTAAGAGGTGCCCCAGCAAAAGACCACCCGAGAACCCACCGACTGGGTCCAGGGGCAAAGGCGACGTACCGAACCGCGGCGGTAACTCCTCCCCCTCGAGCAGCTGCGCCTGAGGCCAGGGGGAGCTACGAGAGCAGCTCCCCCGGCTCCGCCTCCCGCTCCGCTTCCGCCTTCCGTCCCCGCCGCGGCCGCCGACTTCCACTTCCGGGGTCACCCGGGGAAAAGTCGGGAAGGAAAGAAGAGCGGTTGGCGGAGGCGCGAGCCGGCGCGGAGTCAATCGAGGGGGCGGCGCTAGAGCGTCCTGGCCCCGCCTCTTAAAGTGCCCTCGACCGCCTTGCGGGCCACACGGGTCGCGCGGCGGCGAGTGAGCGGCCAAGGTCCGCTGAGGCCTGCGGCTGTGTTCCTTGTCCCTGCTGAAACTGGAAGATGAAGGGCAGCCGCCGGTGCACACATAGTCTGTGGCTTGCAGACAGCCAGAGTACGCAGGGGAGTCAGCTCCCTCTGCGAGCCCAGACCCGGCCAGAGAGGAAGCGAAGTGTGCGTTCCGGACTGGCTCGCCCCTTGACTACACGCGACACTCCTCTCCCGGACACGGCCGGCGAGCTCCCCTGCCGCTGATCCACCCCCTGGGGACGAGGCGCACGGGCCGGACCAGGACTCCGGAGCGAGGCTCCGCGGGGCTTAGAACCCCGCGCTCATCTGCATGCTGCTTTGCATCTCATTTACATAGTAAGGTTTGGGTTGACGCCCGCACGCGCCCCCACCCCTACGCAGACCCTTGTGGATCCTCTGCACACACTCCTGAAGCCTTACAGTTCTGTCATTGTCCCTGCCAGGCCCGTCTTGCTACGCAAGTTTTTTTTACCCATGAACACCCCCCACCACCACCACCACCAGCACTGGCAAAAAACCCTTCCCCGGATCCGACCACCCGGTTCTCCTGAAGACAATACTCCAATTCTCTGGAAAGTGGGAGAAACCAAGCTGGACTTGGGGGTGGAATGGGACTCCATTGGGACTTTGAAAACGTCAAATTGTCGATTAATCTCCTCAGCATTCAGACACCTTCTATCTTAGTCTTGGTGGGAGTCCCAAAACTCTCCGTTGCTTGGTTAGGGGGGCGTCCCTGGTCCTGGATTAGGAAGGTAGGTAGCCTGAGTTCCCCCACACACAGGGGAGGATTGAGGGGGCCCGCCCCGTGATGTCATTCCCCCCCCCAAAACACACACCCTGTCTCCTTCCTCCACACACACCCCTACCCCCAAGCTACTTGCATTTAGCTCACAGGATTTGGCTCGGACTTGCAGGCGGTTAAGGAGCACCGAGCACAGGGGACCTGGCCAACAGCCACCCCTACGCCTAGGACCTGGGGCTGGGATGAAGCTGGAGGTGTAAGCAGTCCCACCCCTTGCTCTCCTCAACCCTGGAGGGTGGTGAGTAGTGAACCCCCTCCCTAACCTCTCCTTGTTTAGGGTCCCATATTCTTAAGCGATTGAGAAGAGCCCCACGAGTTCTCCAGTCCAGCCCTTAGCCTGGGACTTCAGTATCCAAAAGACAGCAAAAGGAAAGTTTATCTGCATCACCCTGCTCCCACGGGGAGCTTGCCAATGCCAGCCTCTCCTCAGTGATCCCTCAGGATCAGAATTCAAATCCCATTGGCACCCCGGGCATGCCAGGATGAGAGGGTGGGTGGAACAATTCCCATGCGTGTCTGAGGCGAATAGCAAGTGGATACCAGGTTGGGCGATGTCGGTGAGACAGGCGCCTGCTTATTCCATGTAGGGCCATGGGATTTGGACTGGCTGTATTCAGCTTTCCCCCAACCCCATCTCTGCCTAAAGCCAAGACTTCAAAATCTTGACAGGGTAACTGGGTGACTCTTAATTCCTTATCTGAAACTCTTAACTCTATCCCCTTGCTTCCTTGAGGGTTGCATTTAGATCACAGGGTTTGGGCTCCAACTTACAGTTTAGGGAGCAACAAGCACAGTGGCTGGGATGGGGGGGGTGCCTGCAGCCAATGGACACCCCATGTCTAGGACCTCTGGGCTGGGATGAAGCTGGGGTCTAAGCAGCTCTCCTCAGCCCTGGAGGGTGGTGAGCAGTAGTAATCCTGGGACCCTAAGATGACTCATTCTCCCTCTTCCTTCCTCTCCCTGTTTTAGTAACCCTGTCCTGTCCGATGCAGCAGGGGTTTGGTATTGCATCCTAAGTGCAGATGAGGGGAGTTGCTTTTTAGTTAGACAGGTCACATTTCCAAAGAAATGGAGGTACAGAGTCCTCACGTCACGGTTTGTGTTCTCTTCCAGGTGTTCCATCCCCCGCCCCATAGTTATGGATGGATGAGAGAAGCTGACCTTCCGCTCTGGGACCATCTTCCCTTGTACCATGGAGAAAGCCTTGTTGCCGCTGACCATAACTTCTGACCCAAGACCCTTCAATCAACAACTCCCCGAGCCTCCGGACCTGAGATGTGCCTTGGAACCCCAGGACGGCCTTGAACTGGCGCCTGCTCTTGTGTGCGCGCTTTGCTGCTGCTTTGGGATCATCTACTGCTGCTTCGGTGAGGGCAGGGCCTGGGGGGCAGCCCCCGAGACTGTTGTCCTCCAGAATAATGCCAACTTTCTTCCCTGTTCCGGCCACTCCACCTCCTCTGTCAGAGTTTTCCATACTGCCTCTGGTCTCTGTTATCTGCCTTTCTTTTGTCTCCTACCGCAAAATCCCATTCCCAGTTGTCCTCCCCACCAGAGATTTCAACTTTCCTCAAAGTCTGAGTCAGTCTGTGGTGATTTGACATTGTCCTTTCTTCTCTGCTCAATGTCATTCCACCTCCTGCTTTCTCCACCTATCCCCTCCGCTTCTGAGTGTCCTTATTCAATGCTGGGCTTGTCCTTCTCTTTCCCTTGCCTGGAGGTCCCCATGGCATGCTGTTTCTGGCTTCTACGCCTTTGATTAGCTGTTCCTTTCCCAACACAGCAGACCCATCCCTGTAGGACCCCCTTTCTGCCTCTCAACGCCTCCTGCCTCCCTTCCCAGGCTACCGCTGCTTCAAGGCCGTGATGTTTCTCTCGGGTCTGCTGTCAGGAGCTCTGGTGATCTTCCTCCTGTGCCACAAGGAGCGAGTGTTGGAGACACAGTTGAGCCTGGAGGTGAGCGCAGGCATCGCGCTGGGCATCGGACTCCTCTGCGGCCTGGTCACCATGCTGGTTCGCAGCGTCGGGCTCTTTCTGACTGGTCTGCTGCTAGGTCTGACCCTAGGTGCTGGAACCTTGTTGGGCACAGAATCCATCTACCAGCCACATTCAGCCTGGGTGCCGATCGGTGGACTAATGGGGCTGGCACTGCTGGGAGCCCTGCTCACACTCCGGTGGCCACGCCCGTTCACGGTGCTGGGTACCGCCCTCCTAGGCGCTGCTGTGCTGGTGGCCTGTGCTGACTACTTCTTGGAAGGGCTGGCACTGGGCACTCGGCTGAGCGAACGCCTGCAGGCGCTTCCAGAATTGCTTCCTCTTTGCTGGTATAGCTGGGTCTTACTGGGGACCTGGCCAATCTTGGGGGCTCTTGGGACACTGGCCCAGTGGAAACTCATGGCTGAGGAACGCGGAAGCCACACCAATGGTGAGTTAGTGCTGTGGTACAAAAGCAGCCAACGTGCCCCTACTGCTATCCCTGATTCCGACACATGAGGGGAAGGGAGAAGATGGAGAGATGAGGATGGGGGAGGATTCCCATGTCAAACAGGGCAGGCACTAAAGGAAAGCTAGAGTTGAAACAGCCAAAGGAAGTCTGGGTAGAATAAGAAGAAAGCTCCCCAAGAGATGCAGGAAGAGTAAGTTAGGACTCTTCCGAGAGGGTAGAGGAACCCAGAGAGGGGAGGAGGAACGTGTAGAGGAAATTTAGTGACTAAAGGGAAGGCCAAGTCGACCTCTGTGGAGTGTAATTCTGTTTGGACTTGGTAAAAAAGCCCCCTTGAATCTGTATTGCCTCCTCCCCAGCAGTGGTCTTGAGCCACCAGAGAAGGCATCTCCAGCTCCTTCGGATCCATCAGCAAGAGGCTAAGTGGCATCGGAACCCTTCTGGAGTGGGACTGTATGAAGGCAGCTATCGAAGTCAACTTTCCCCCAATATCCGGAGCCCTGGTGACAGTCTGGCTCCAGTGAGTGGGAGGGTGAGGTACCCTGGGGAAGATGGGTCAGAGGGCATACAGTGATGGCCAGCGTGAGCTTAGGGTCTGACCCAGAACCCCCTTCTACTCTCTCTGGCCTGTGTCCACTCAGCGTTATCTCCAGAGTCTCCGTGAGGCCACGGGTCCCCGCACTGTCCTGGACCTGGGTTCTGGCTGCAGTCCCACTGTCCTCTGTCCATCTTCTCATTCCGCCCAGACCTGAGCCTAAGCCTCTGGTGATGCCGCTACCCGAGTGAGGGCAGGAGATTGCTACGTGGATAAGGCCTGTGCCCACGGGACCCACACAGAGTTCCCTACGTCTTGGACTTGGAGATAGTCTCTATCCCCAGACTAACCCTTTTAAAAGCGGGCAGAGAGAATTCTTGCAAAGATGGGGGAGAGCAATACAGCACCTACCTCTGTCAGTGGTCACGGTGCCCTGGTCCCTAGAGACACTGGCTCCAAACCAAGGAGATTTACCCAAAACAGCTTTAAAAAAAAAATTCCTATAGTGCTGAGACAGAACCTAGAGTGTTGTTCAGAGTAGACGAGCATTCTACCACTGAACTGCAACCATTCCCAAATATCCATTTAAACGTCCCGGTGTGCCTTGCTGTGGTAAAATACAGGGCTGTGTTGTAGGACCAGTAGAAAACCGAGGAGCCCCTGAGGCATGTCACAGTTTTTTGGTAGGGAAAATGGCACAGAAGTACTCTAAGATCCCCCAGCTCCCGGGTTCCTTAGGGGTACCCGGACTTCTGGTTGGCCTTTCTCAGTGGACCCCATAGTCTTGAGTCCCCTCTACCTCAGGGGAATGCAATCCTCCATGGTGCTTTCTCCTCTCTCTTCAACGAGGGGAGACCACAGAATCTGCCTCAGCTCCCCTCTCCAAGAGCTGGCTCCTTCTCCAAGAAGAGAGCATTGGCTCGCATGCCTAATTCTTGCCTTTTTGCTCAGAGAAACCTGGGCTTCAGGGCTGCGCGGTAGTCAAGTGCCTTCTGCCTCCACTTACCCATCCTAACGCTCCCTCCTCTGAGTCTCCTGAGCAAGGTCTTTCCTGGTTTCCCAAACAGTATGAAGGAAGACACATCCCTCCCCCAGCAGCAAATCTGTAATGGGGGGGGGGGAGAACAAGGGAACATGGGAATAAAATGGCTTTGAAAATTCAACTGGGGAGCTGGACCTCTCCCATAGCTTTTTACTTTCTTTACATGGCAAAGCAAAGGTGATCAGGATGTCCCTAAAGATCTGCTGTGGCACCTTTATCATCTGTCACACTATGTATACGATGTACGTATACACATGATACACATATGCACCCAGACAGCTCAGCTCTCAGGAACACGAAGTTAGCCTTTATTAAATACAAATGTGTCAGACTCCATCAGTATGACATATAACATTTCACATATAACATTTCATCTAACATAACAACCCTATAACATTGAGATTGACCTTATTTTGTTAATAGAGAATCCAAGGTTTTCCAAGGTTTTTTTTTGTTTGTTTCTTTCGAGACAAGGTTTTTCTGTAGCTTTGGAGCCTGTCCTGGAACTAACTCTTGTAGACCAGGCTGGCCTCGAACTCACAGACCTGCCTGCCTCTACCTCCCAATTGCTAAGATTAAAGGCGTGTGCCTGGTCAAATTTAAAAAGATAAAATAAAAAAATAAAGACATGCGCCACCACCGCCCAGCCTCCCAAGGTTAATTAACTTGCTGAAAGTCACAGGTAGCTCGAGGACCCCAGAGCCCTTGCTCAGTTTACTGACTGTGCCGTTTCTTGCACTTGACGTTGGCAGAACGGAACCCAGGTGTCCAGTAGATCAGCTGTTGCCTCCTGTCAGCTAAAGACCCAACTAACAGCCAGGTATCGCAGCACATGCCCTAAATCTGGAGAGATGGCTCAGTGGTTAAGAGCACTGACTGCTCTTCCACAGGACTGGGGTTCAATTCCCCGCACCCACATGGCAGTTCACCACTGTCTGTAACCCCAGTTCCAGAAGATCTGACACCTTCACACAGAAATACATGTAGGCAAAACATCAGTGCACACAAAACAAAACAAATTTTAAAAGAAGACAAAACAAAAAACACTAGCCAGGCATGGTGGCACATGCCTTTAATCCCAGCACTCCAGAGGCAGAGGCAGGTGAATCTCTGTGAGTTCAAGGCCAGTCTGGTCTACACAGAGTGTTTCAGGATAGCCATAGCCAGTGTTATGTAGAGAGAGACCCTGTCCAAAAACAACAGCGAAAGAAAAAAAAAAGTGCCTGGTTGATAATTTCCTTCCAATAAAAAATAGTTGAGAGCCGGGCGTTGGTGGTGCACGCCTTTAATCCCAGCAATCGGGAGGCAGAGGCAGGTGGATCTCTGTGAGTTCGAGGCCAGCCTGGTCTACAAGAGCTAGTTCCAGGACAGGAACCAAAAGCCACGGAGAAACCCTGTCTCGAAAAATCCAAAAAATAAAAAAAAATAAAAAATAGATGACACATTTGAAAGAGCTATGTGACAAGGAGAAATGGGAACTGGGGACTGACTCAGAATTCAGGGGCACCCTCTAGGAGCACAAGAAAGTGGTATCCAGAATTAGAACATTTGGGCCATGCGGCCCATAGCCCGGGCCAATGCTGTAACATCCACACCGTCCTAATGAGCAGATACTGATTAGTCCTAGGCCCCTTGCAGGGTGACGTTAGTGGGGGATGAAAGCGTGACAGAGTCCGTAGCTGAGGGAATCATGTCCAAGATTGAGTCCGTGGTTGACGGAGTGGTATCCAAGATTGTGTCTGTGGTTGAGGGAGGAATATCCCCAGTTAACGAGCTCGTGTCCGGAGTCTGAGGATTGCAGTGCATCCAGTGTGTGATGTTTCTGGGATAACCCTTTGCCACACGAAGCTGCTGGTTAAGCCGCCAATACTGTTTGCCCTTGAAGAAGTACACTTGGCCATCTTGCCAGCTCATCGCTGCCGAGGGTTGGTCTGGCACTCCAGTAAACAATTCCTTGATTGGTTTGGGGTAGCGGCTGAAGTCTGTTCTGGTCAGCTCGTCCCATTGCCAGTAACCTGAGCCCTAATTTGGGGTGGGTGGGAGGAAGAGAATGAGAGAGCTTAGGGACCCCAGAGGCTGATCCAAACTTCAGAAGGTGCCCCTTTAAGGGTAAGACTTCACCCCTCAGTATGAGGTAGCCTGACCCTCCTCAGAAGAGATTATCCTGACTTTACCTTAAAAAGGAACACCTTCTGATTAACAGGCCAATAGAGTGCTGCATCCAGGTTGGGTTCTACCCTGTTGAATTTCATGGGAAAGCCAGGAGACATCTTGAAGCCCACATATCGCCACACCTTGTTTCCTGAGAACGGTCAAAGGAAGAACAAGCTGTGTCATCAGGTCATTTTGGTCCCTCTCCCGCCCTCTCGAAAGCATCTCCACACCTCCTCCATTTGTAGCTTTGTAACGCCCAGGCCCTCAGGTAAAGACCTAAGTGCCCCACTTACCCTTGAAGAAATGAATCCATCCTGTTCTAGGAGAGTAGACAGCAGCATCTAAGTTTCCAGGGAGCCCCTCCCAAAGAGCAGACACGCGGAACAAGGGGCCTGGCCCTGAATCTGTTACAGTCCACACATAGTCCCCCTTGAAAGCATAGGTCTTCCCGCGAGGTCCTAAGAGCAGAAACATTTTGACACTTTAAAAGACAATGAACTTCTATTGGGATCTCACCAAGGCCAGCTGGCCTAGGTCTGAAAAAACATGGGATAAATCCGGACTAGCTGAACATAGCGGACAATGAGGAATACTGAGAATTCAAGAACAATTGCAGTGGGTTTTTGATCCTACTGCACGTACTGGCTTTGTGGGAGCCTAGGCAGTTTGGATGCTCACCTTACGAGACCTGGATAGAGGTGGGCAGTCCTTGGGCTTCCCACAGGTCAGGGAACCCTGATTGCTCTTCGAGCAGATGAGGGAGGGGGAATTGATCGGGGGAGGGGGAGGGAAATGGGAAGCGGTTGTGGGGACGAGGCAGAAATCCTTAATAAATAAATAAATTTAAAAAAAAAAAAAAAAAAAAAAAAAAAATAAATAAATAAAAGACAATGAACGACTCAGGAGCATCTCAGTGCTTCCTTACTGGCCCCCGATGGGCTCGTCAAAAATTCACTCAACTTGAAAAGGGCAGAGAAGGAAGACACGGTGCTGAGCCTCTCCTTTGTTGGCCACAGCCCTCCAGTCAGCCAGTTCTTCCTAGTACCTAGTACCCCATTCCAGGTTGCCTGAAAATCTTACCACTAGGTGCAAAGCCCTCTCTGACAGGCATTGCAGCTGATTCCATCTTGCTATGTTTCCACATGGTTTTGGGTTTTGTTTTGTTTTTTGAGACAGGGTTTCTCTGTGTAACAGTCCTGGCTGTCCTGAAACTCCCTCTGTAGACCAGGCTGGCCTCAAACTCCCAGAGATCCACCTGCCTCTACCTCCTGAGTGCTGGGATTAAAGGTATGCACCACCGCCGCCCACCTCCACATGTATTTTTATAAGGCGGCAACCATGGTAAATGCTTATCCAGCCCTCTTTGTGGAGGGGGATGTTTTTGTTTGTTTTTATTTTTTGTGTTGTTTGGGGGTTCAAAACAGGTTTCTCTGTGTAGTCCTGGCTATCCTGGGATTGGCTCTGTAGACCAGGCTGGCCTCAAACTCCGAGATCCACCTGCCTGCCTCCTGAGTACTGGGATTAAAGGCACAGACCACCACTGCAGCTACCCAGCCCTCTTTTGACTCCCAGTGCTCCCACTCCATGCTAGACATCTTCCCTGGTCACCAACCGTTCCCTGGGGTCCAACCCCCAATGTTCCTGCTTTGGTCCCATGTCATCCCCATCTGACCAAGCCTTGGAGTCAGTCGACTGCCCCCATTGCCTGTCAACAGTCTGTTCGGGAAGGGCCTCACCCAGCATCGTGGCATCCAGTTCAGTGCTGCAGGGGGTTGGCATGGGACTGGGTTTTGTGGTCACTGGTGACACAGTGGAAATCTCAATCTCTTCCTTCTCATCCTCTGTCTCTGGACTCTTCTTGCCTGCAAAGTGAAGTAAGGCACCATAGGGAAAGAAGTCCAAACAAACACCCAAGTCTACCGTAAGCTCTGCGCAATGACCCCAGAGAGAGGGAAAGGGGAATTCTAAGGCGTTTCCCTCAGTGGTCAGCAATATACAGGAGACAGCTTAGTTTTGAGAAGCCCCAGAGAAGCAAGTTCCCTGGAATATACATCTTCGAGAATAGGGTTGCCAGGTGGTGGCGCACACCTTTAAACCCAGCACTAGAGGCAGGTGGGTCTCCATGAGTCTGAGTCCAGCCTGGACTACACAGCAAGTCCCAGGACAGCCAGAGCTACAAAATCAAGACCCTGTCTCAAAACAACAAACAACAACAGCAACAAATTAGGATGTGACGGGGAGAAAGGCCAGGAAGGAAAAACAGACAAAAGAGTCAAAAATAGAGACAGTATTTGAGGACGAATAGCTTGAAGAACTGGACAGAGGAAGAGAAGGGAAATAAAGCCATTTCACTCCGTGAAAGCGAGTATTGTCTCCCTGAGCCTAGAGAGCCATTAGTCAGACTGACTCTCATGCTCACCATAGAGAGCCTGGATCCCTGCCACATCATCTGGGTGCAGCCTGAAGTAGGGCTGGTAGCCAGCATAGACGGGAGCCATGAGTGCCTGAGTGTATCGGGAGTGCCCAAGACCCAAGGCATGACCCACTTCATGGGCTGCGATGATGCGCAGGTTCACTCCTTGGTAGGTCCCCTCAGTCCAGAATTCATCTTTGTCAAAGTGTACACTGCCAAGTTCTGGGATGTCGGCATGGGCCAGGACCTTTCCTGGAGAACGGTAAAGGCAGACAGTAATGTGAGCGCCCACGACAACAGAGCACCGTTTGCTGGCTATCTACTTGAGCTACTTTCAAGTGTGACAATGCATCTGTAATCACAGCACTTGGAAGGTGGACATGGGAGGATCAGAAGCTCAAGATCAGCCTCAGCTACGTAGTGGGGTTGATGTCAATCTGGTCTACACAAAATGCAGGACACAGCGCCATAGCGAGCTTAGGTGCTTCTTTCGGATTTCCCAGTCGTTACTCAGGGAAACCCAATACAAAAT